CTTCTCCAGCACCACAGCTCAAAGGCGTCAATTCTCCTTCTATCCTCCCTAGTCATTGTCCAACTCTCTGATGCATAACAAGTGATTGCAAAAACCATAGCCTGTGTCAGGTGCACCTTAGTCTCCAGAGAGACACCATTGCTCTTGAGTATTTTAGAGAGGTCCCTAACTGCAGAATTGAAGACATCTTTATTGATATAAATTATTAAAATATATTTTGTTATATGCATATTCCTAAACCATATCTTGTCAACAAATACTGATTTATTTTGGGGAAGGCACTTTTGTTTGTGTAATACCATTGCCTTCACTGATTCCTCCTCATAAAAGATTGTATTTTCTTTGCTACTTTTGTCTTCCGAACTACTTAACTGTATATAAATGATCCTTTCTTTTGCTCCTTGGATTCAAGCTTAAAGGAGTAAAAAATTAATCCGCTCACCTGCCTCAACCATTAAAAAAAATAATTATTGTGTTACTATAATGCCAGGGATTTTCCTGAATCATTCCTAAGTGCTGCTAACAGACTCTTATTTGGTTTTTAGATTAAGGACACTCATTAAATACTCGTCCATCATCTAGGTATAAAATTATCTCTGAATAATCACTTATTTGAAGGAACACTTTCCTAAAGTCTCTTTTCATGAGTAAAATCCTCAGCTTGACTATTTTCCTTCTTTGTCCTTACAGATATTGTCCACTGCCAATGCCTCAAAGAGGCCACAGATAGTATCCTACATATTGTCTTATAGAAAACGAAATATACTTCACCACAGTAATGTTTTAAATATTCTTTCTAATTTCTTATCATCTTCCTTCCCGTGCTTCTGAGCACAGCCACATCCCCAGCAGTTTCACTCCACCTTTGCTTTGCATGGAAATAACTTGGCTTACATAAACTGTGTGTGTGTCTCGTGTGACTGTCTCTGATTTGGTTTGCCATGCATTCTAATTTAATTTTGGATTCACGTATAAGTTTAGTGACAATTGTCATTTTTGTGGGTTTCTTTTTTCCTTTCCTTCCCTTTATTTCCCTCCTTGATCTGTCTGTTATGTGTCTAAACAAGGAGGTCGCTCCAAGGAAAGGGCACGCCTCTTAGCACAAATCTGTCTGTTTCATTGTTAGGTGTGAATTTCCCTTAGATGAAATGCCGGTGTGTGCAGCTAATTGATACATATTTTCCTTAGTCATTGTACATATTGATAGAAAGAACATGAATTCCAGATTCTTATATAACTAAAAATGCACAGCTCTCATTTAGATGTTCATCTGGCAGTTTGCTACTACTGGCTTTCTCCTAGAGGAAATCAACTTTCTGCAATTCTAATGCTTTTTTCCCCATGTTCATTTGATTTAATTTCATTTTATTTGGACATTGATATGTAACATCTGAACAATCTTGAGATATCTATGTGTAATTTCACTGCTTCTTTTGTTGTTTTGATTTGTGATTTTTTTTTGTAAATGTGTGTGCGTGGGGTCTTGATTATTTGTTACAGCTTTGTTTTACGTGTGGTTGTGCTACAGTGAGACAATTAAGCAAGTTATTTCCTGCTCATTTTTCCTTTTCAGTTTTGTTTTTTTTTCCCTTCTGTTAGCCCTGCTTTGCTTTTGTGCCCTGAGACCTTGTGGATCCACCATTCCCAGCCCATTTTGTTGTCCTTCCCACCACGACAGGAAAAAGACGCTGCTGTGTCGTTTCAGTCCTGATTACATTTGCCAATATCCTTTTTGATTTCCATTTTACTTTCAATGTTTTTACATCCACATCAAAGATGATGAGACAGAATCTACAGAAACATCTATCCTGAAAAGTCACCTGGTTAATGAAGTTCCCGTCCTAGCAAGTCCGGATTTACTCTCTGAAGTTTCTGAGATGAAACAAGACTTGATCAAAATGACTGCCATCTTGACCACAGATGTGTCTGATAAGACAGGCGCTATTAAAGTGAAGGAGCTGGTGAAGGCGACCGAGGAAGAGCCAGGCGAGCCCTTTGAAATTGTGGAAAGGGTCAAAGAGGACTTAGAGAAAGTGAACCAAATCCTGAGGAGTGGAAGCTGTGCGAGAGATGGAGGCAGTGTGCAAAGTTCTCAGTCAGAAAGAGTGTTAGTGGAAGAGGACTGGGTTGTTGTCAGTGAGGAGGAAATAGAAGAGGCGAAGCAAAAGGCCCCTTTAGAAATCACTGAATACCCATGTGTAGAAGTTAGACTAGAGAAAGAGGCTAAAGTGAAAGTAGAAAAAGATTCAACTGGGTTAGTGAACTACCTTATTGATGATCTAAACTCATATGCGGGTCATCATGATGTGCAACCGCAGACAGTTAAAGAGATGACAGGGCAGAAGCGTGAGGCTCTGGCTGGTGGCAGGAGCTCTGGAAATGAGGGGAAAAGTGCACCTCCAGATGAGCCTCGGGGTATCCAGGAACAGCACAAGCCAAACCTGGGAATAAAGAAGCCAGTGAGAAGGAAATTAAAAGAAAAACAGAAGCAAAAAGAGGACAGTTTACAAGTTGGTGCAGATAAAACTGCACTTAAAAAAGGTAGTTCAGAAGAATCTTTGGATGAAGACTCAGGCTTAGCCCCTGAGACTCTTCCCACTGTGAAAGCCACATCTCCTTTGATAGAGGAAACTCCCATTGGCTCCATCAAGGACAAGGTAAAAGCCCTGCAGAAGCGAGTGGAAGATGAACAGAAAGGTCGAAGCAAGTTGCCAGTCAGAGTCAAAGGCAAAGAAGATGTGCCCAAAAAGATCACCCACAGGACACATACAGCTGCATCACCCTCGCTGAAATCGGAAAGGCACTCACCAGTGTCACCTTCCTCTAAACTAGAAAGGCACACTTCTCTTTCCACTTCTGCCAAAACAGAAAAGCATCCTCCTGCATCACCGTCAAGTAAAACTGACAAACACTCACCTGTGTCACCCTCTTCAAAAACAGAAAGACATCCGCCTGCCTCATCAAGTAAAACCGAGAAGCACTCACCTGTTTCACCTTCGGTGAAAGCAGAGAGACACTCCCCTGGGTCACCGTCAACAAAAGCAGAAAGACACTCGCCTGCATCCCCTTCAGGTAAAACAGACAAACGTCCACCTGTCTCACCATCTGGGAGAACAGAGAGACACCCACCAGTTTCACCAGGAAGGACAGAAAAACGATTACCTGTGTCACCTTCTGGAAGAATGGAGAAACACCCACCTGTGTCAACCTCTGGGAAAACAGAAAAGCACCTACCGGTATCACCTTCGGGTAAAGCAGACAAGCAACCACCTGTCTCCCCTACCTCAAAAACAGAAAGAATTGAAGAGACGATGTCTGTTCGTGAACTGATGAAAGCTTTCCAGTCAGGTCAGGACCCCTCTAAACATAAGACAGGACTCTTTGAACATAAATCAGTAAAACAAAAGCAGCCACAAGAAAAAAGCAAAGTTCAGAAAGAAAAGGGACCGATTACCCAGAGAGAAACTCAGAAAATAGAGAGTCAGACAATCAAGCGAGGACAGAGATTTTTAGTAACAGGTGCTTCAGAGTCCAAACGAGGAGTCCGTGTTTCCTCGATAGGTTTCAAGAAAGAAGATGTAGTTGGAGAAAAGGAGAAAGCTTTCAGTCACAAAACACCTGAGCCTGTTCAGCCAGCCGTCCAAGAAGAAAGTAAAAAAGAGACTGAGGTCCCCCAAGAAAAGGTGACTGATGAACAAGGAGAAATGGATCTCCAAATTAGCCCGGACAGGAAAACGTCCACTGACTTTTCTGAGGTCATTAAGCAAGAGTTAGAAAACAATGACAAATACCAACAATTCCGCTTGAACGAAGAGACTGAAAAGGCCCAGCTTCACTTAGACCAAGTTCTTACGAGCCCGTTCAATACAACATTCCCGCTAGATTATATGAAAGATGAATTCCTTCCAGCTTTGTCGTTACAGAGCAGTGCTTTAGACGGTAGTTCTGAGAGCCTAAAGCATGAAGGGATTGCAGACTCGCCATGTGGCAGCCTGATGGAAGGGACCCCTCAAATTAGTTCAGAAGAAAGCTATAAGCATGAAGGTCTAGCAGAGACCCCAGAGACAAGTCCAGAAAGCCTTTCTTTCTCACCAAAGAAAAGTGACCAACAAATTGAGGAAACTACCAAGTTAGAAACAGCAATGGAAAGTCATTCTGAAAAAGAACTTCCCACCACCAAAGACAGTAGTGATAGTTCTGAAGAGCAAGGTGCTGTAGTCCCTGAAGGCACAGATGGCTCTGATGATTGTATTCTAAAAGAGGCCACCCTAGAATCAAAAGCTGAGCAGGGAGATAGCACTGGCATAGACAATCTACCATTAGTGGAAGAAACAACCAAAAGACTGACTGAGGAAGTTACTTATGATGAAAATCAAGTAGCAAGTAGTGGTTCAACCCCTAAGACACAAACTGATATTGAGGTTCAGAAATCCACCACCACTGAACTCTCAGACGAGGTCACGACCTCACCATTACCTGATACTTCTGTGAAGATGGACTCAGGGACTGAATCAAAGCCTCAGGGAGTCATTAGAAGCCCCCAAGGATTAGAACTTGCACTCCCTAGCCGCGATAGTGAAGTCCTCAGCCCTATGGCTGATGAATCTTTAGCTGTAAGCCACAAAGACTCTCTGGAAGCCAGCCCTGTACTGGAAGATAACTCCTCTCACAAAACCCCAGATTCTCTGGAACCCAGTCCTCTGAAAGAATCTCCTTGTCGTGACTCTCTTGAGAGCAGCCCTGTTGAACCAAAGATGAAGGCTGGCATTCTTCCAAGTCATTTTCCTCTTCCTTCAGCCATCACCAAAGCAGAACTTGTTACAGAAGTGGCCACCATGCGGTCCCGGTTACTCCGAGACCCTGACGGCAGCGCTGAGGATGACAGTCTTGAGCAGACATCACTCATGGAGAGCTCAGGGAAGAGCCCCCTTTCTCCTGACACACCCAGCTCTGAAGAAATTAGCTATGAGGTCACACCTAAAGCCACAGATGTCAGCACACCTAAACCGGCCGTGATTCACGAGTGTGCAGAGGAGGATGACTCTGAAAATGGAGAGAAGAAGAGGTTCACTCCCGAGGAGGAAATGTTTAAAATAGTAACCAAAATCAAGATGTTTGATGAACTTGAACAGGAAGCAAAGCAAAAAAGAGATTACAAGAAAGAACCCAAGCAAGAAGAGTCTTCATCCTCTGACCCAGATGCTGACTGTTCAGCAGAGGTGGACGAGCCAAAGTGTGTGGAAAATGGTGGTGGGGAAAGTGATATTCCTGTAGTAATGACGTCAGAAAGCCGCAAGACTTCTTCCTCCTCAGAAAGTGAACCTGAGCTGACCCAGTTGAAAAAAGGTGCTAACTCAGACCTCTTAGCAGAACCAGTTATTCGAGTAGAACCTCCATCGCCACTTCTATCCAGCATGGATTCCAGTTCCAGTCCTGAAGAAGTACAGTTCCAACCAATAGTTTCGAAACAATACACCTTCAAGATGAATGAAGAGATTCTGGAAGAGCCAGGAAAATGCAAAGAAGAAAAAGACTGTGAATCTCGTTTGCCAGAAGATAGCCATGCTATTTCCACTGATGGTCCAGACACGTCTTATGATGATCTAAGCAGAGACGTTGAGCAGCCTAAAATCTGTGATGGGCATGGCTGTACGCCTGTGAGTCCTGGCGACTCAACCACTCCAATCTGTTCAGGTCTACAGAGCTCAGCCGCTGCTCATATGGATGAACAGCTGCTCATCCATAAAGAATCCTTAGCTCTTGAAGACAGTCACAAAATAGACACAGAAGATGAAGAGCTTGATGGTTCAAAAGTAGAATCTTTGAAAGTAGAATGTTCCAGTGAAAGCTCTTCATCTTTGTCCTCTCTGACTCATTGTCCAGTATCTGAAGGCAAAGAACTAGATGAAGACATATCATCTACATCTTCTGCTGTAAAAATGGAGATCACACAAAATGACCAAAGTTTAGGGAGTCTGCCAGCAGATTGTTCCACTGAAGAGTCTTCCCAAACTATGCAAACAGATAGATTATCCATAGATGTTCCAGTGTCCGATCCAACTGAAATGGATGGAATCTATGATACTCAAATCATAAGCCCTTATGAAAATGTTCCTTCCCAATCCTTTTTTTCAAGTGAAGAAATGCAAACCCAAACAGATGTGAGACACACCACAAGTTTTCACTCTTCAGAAGTATACTCTGTTGTTGTCACATCCTCTGTTGAAAATGTCGTAGTGGAAAACTCCTCTAGCGGAACTGTTTCAAGAGAACAATCTAATTTTGAAACCCAGGCCCTGGGAGTAGAATCAGAACAGGACAACTCAGTGTGGGAAAAGCAATCAGAAAGCAGTGCCTCATCTTTAGAGCCTCAGGTACCAAAAGAATCAACAGCCATGAGTGGACAAGTAAGCAAAGTCATTATCACAAAAACGGATGTGGATTCTGATTCCTGGAGTGAAATCCGTGAAGATGATGAAGCCTTTGAGGCACGAGTAAAAGAGGAAGAACAAAAAATATTTGGTTTGATGGTAGACCGACAATCACAGGGGACTACCCCTGACACTACTCCTGCTAGGACCCCAACTGAGGAGGGGACGCCAACGAGTGAACAAAATCCATTCCTCTTTCAGGAAGGAAAGCTGTTCGAGATGACCCGAAGTGGTGCTATTGATATGACCAAAAGAAACTATGCAGATGAAAGTTACCACTTTTTTCAAATTGGACAAGAATCCGGAGATGAGACTCTTTCTGAAGACATGAAAGTCGGGGTTCCTAAGACTGAGGCCCCACAGCTGGAAACATCGGCTGAGCCACTAACACTTTCAGCTTCAAAAGACACAGTAGATGATGAAACGGACCTACTTCCAGCTGACCTGAATGAAAGTGGAGATGAGGTATCTGCCACAGATACTCAACTTAAGTCCCAAATGGGGATGACAGCTTCTATTGAAACCTCAACCAAAGAGGATACTTCTGCAGGGGAAGAAGAGCTCTCCACCATGCCAGTGGCTGACACATCTGCAGTGTCCAATATGAAGCAGACATCTTGCCCTGACTCTCCTGAACCAGTACAAGTGCAGTTAGACTTTTCCACAGTCACCAGGTCTATATATTCAGAAAGGGATGATGATTCTCCTGATTCTTCCCCAGAGGAACAAAAATCTGTGATTGAAATCCCTACTGCACCCATGGAGAATGTGCCTTCTACTGAAAGCAAATCCAAAATACCTGTAAGGACTGTGCCTGCTGCAGCACCAGCACCTCCATCTGCAGAGTGCGAAACTGCCCTTTCTGACAATTTCTTGCCCAGTCTGGATGATGAAAGTAAGGAGGATGAAGCCAAACCAAAGTCCAAAATCCCTATTAAAGCACCCAGCCAAAGAGCCGAGCAACAGCCTCCACACCTAGACTCATCTCTCCAGGAGATGGTGGCTCCTGAGGGTGTGGACGTGGCAAGCAGAGCACCAGATAATAGAAGCAAATCTGAATCTGATGCTAGTATTTTGGACTCAACAGTCAAAAGTCCAGTAAAAAGTAGAAGTTACAATGAGGCAGAAACAGAGAGCAGGGAGAAAGCAGAGGAACTTGAGTTAGAATCAGAAGAAGGGGCAACAGGACCAAAGATTTTTTCATCACGATTGCCAGTTAAGAGCAGAACTACCACATCTTCCTGCAGAGGGAGCATGAGCCCCACAAAAGAAAGTAAGGAACATTTCTTTGACATGTACAGAAACTCTATAGAATTCTTTGAGGAGATTAGTGATGAGGCCTCCAAGTTAGTGGATAGGCTTACGCAGTCAGAAAGGGAGCAGGATTTAGTTTCAGATGATGAGAGTAGTAGTGCCCTGGAAGTGTCAGTAATTGAAAATCTACCACCTGTTGAGACCGAGCACTCAGTTCCTGAGGACATCTTTGACACAAGGCCCATTTGGGATGAGTCCGTTGAGACTCTGATTGAGCGCATCCCTGATGAAAATGGCCATGACCATGTTGAAGGTATTTGCCAGCCACTGGGATTCCCTGTGCTACGCATGTCATAAATCTGATAGAGTTTTTTTGTTCGTTTGTTTTCTTTGGTGATTTGTGTCTTATTTTCTTTAAGCTTTCTGTGGTGGTTAATGTGTTTGTGTAAGCCTTTTACGTTTTGTGCTTTCTCTGTATAATCTTGTCTATGAAAACAATCTCAAGATTGAGTAATGAGAATGCTTATGGAGAACATAAACATGATAAATCGGCAATGGTGATCTTGCCTTTTTCTAGCCACTGCACGTAAGGCCATGCAAGCTTTGAGTTTTGTTGTTCTGAAGTTCCAGACATCGCCTTAAATGAAGCACTTTTGTATATGCACATGAAGATATTGACTTTTATTTCATAGGATGAGGATTCATTGCTTTTACTTCTTTGATTTTGTGAAATTTAATTTGTATTTACAATTTTGTAATCATTAGGAAGCCATTTGCTTGAGAAGATTTCACATAAAAAATTCCAATTGTTGTGGATCTGATTTTGATTCAGAAAGGTTGGATTTCAAATACCACTGGTAAATACTTTAAGCAAACGTACCTAAGGTAAAAATATGCTTTTCATTTATGTGGTAGATGAATGGAGGATATATCTCAGTTAGGTGCCACAGACAACAAAAACTCAAACTTTGCACAATTCTAGTTGACTGTGAAGGGATGATTGCATTTTGAATTATCAAGAAGGAAACCATAGATGGCTTTCAGAAGTAGTCTCTGGTCTTCCAATATCTCTACAATAAAGACTATCAATCAATTACTGATATAAAAACTTATAATACTATAGTTTAAAATGCTGCCCATCAGATGACTATTTGTAATAGTAAGTAATATATCTATTTGGTAAAAATCAGTTAGACATTTTATCCCTCATAAAGATAGATAGATGGATAGATAATAATAAAAATGATTATTATTACAAATATATATATTTTTTCAGCCTTCTTTCAAAGACCAACAGGTCCAGGTCAATGTTGTTTCCAGTTAGACTGGGTAATGCTGAGTTCATTTGAACAATCCATCATAAGTCTCTGTTCAATACCAGAGATGATTTCTTTCCGATGTAAAAAAAATAAAAAGTGTTTCACTTCTGCATTACATCTATAATTTATCTGGCTTTTGGTGAGAACGATCTTGGTGGGCAGTGTTTTCTCTCTTAATTTAAATGGAATGCCCTAATGTTACTAAGAAATCCATAATTTACATAATTATGACCAGGGACTAAAACCAAATGTATTGCCCTTGAATCTGTTCTTATTCATACTAGTCTTGATTAAAGAGATATGGAAGCAGATGGTTTTCATAATTCATATTAGATTTATTCCCCATTCCATCCCAGAAATCAGGCAAATACACAGTGTAATGTGATTTCAAAAGTCATAGCTAATTTGTACTACTATCAAATCTTTGAACAAGTGACTTCCTTTCTTTGGCTGAATCAGTGACTGTGGTTCCTTTCCTGGCATAGACAACCTTTGGCCATTTTGGTTTTTACCTTTTGTAGATCCACAGGATGAGCAGGAACGGATCGAGGAGAGACTGGCTTATATTGCTGATCACCTTGGCTTCAGTTGGACAGGTAAAATAAATGTGATCCATTGTCCCAACAAAATCAACTCGGTTTAAATGATATCATTATACCAACTAAATGTCATTTACCATGAAAAAAGATTCCCCAGCAGACCACATGAAATTATGAGACAAATAATAAAGTATGAACTAGAAAATTCAGACTCTAATTGGCTCATAGTATGACCCAAGGCAGGTCTTCCAACTTACCTGGAATTTTGAATAATAGAAATTTAGATTTTGAGATTTAAAGACAACACCATCTTTTATCATTTTCTTTTGGTGGTTACAGAGATCTAAACTTTTGAGCTATTACTGTATTTCCAGACTAATTTTTTATGTTACAGAACTATGTTAAATATAATTTTTGGGAAATAAAATACATTTACTTTGAAAGTTCATAAAGGGTTCTTATTATGGATACCTTGTATCAGATATATTCATGTCTACAGTATGGTATTGTTACAATTGTTCAAACACCTAAGAATTCAATGTTTCACTAACATTCTGACAAATTTATGATGTTTAAGTGTATAAATTCTAAGACATGTTTAATGAATAATTTGGTGAAAGTGAATTATTAATGTGGTTTATTCATAAAACACAAATTATAAGTTTAAAAAACTTTATTTCATGTATCTTATTTGTGATTGAATGTATTAAATTATATTTGCCAATATAACTTTCTTTACACCACTATGACTATCTCATTGAGGTTAACAGTATAAAGGTAATTAATATATTTTCCTTTCATTTTCTGAAAAAAAAAAAGATGATTAGGAGCTATTTAATATCATATTATATAAATTTATATGTTGTTGTTGTTATGTGCCGTTGTGTCGTTTGCAACTCATAGCGACCCCATGTACAACAGCCCTTAACCCTGCTCTATCCTCCCGATTACCCCAGTCACTGAATCAATCCACCTCATAGATATAATTTATTAATAACCTTTATTAATGACTCCAAAGTACTGAAGAGCAATGGTGTCACCCTGGAGACTAAGGTGTGTTTGATACAGGCCATGGTCTTTGCAATCACTTCTTTTTTTTTTTTCGGGTTCTCATTCATTCATTGTTGCACTGTTTACCCTCCTCCCTGGTTCTTTCTCCCCCCCACCCACAAATGTCTGCTTTAATTGTCCAATTGCCACAGTGCTTGTCAAAGCCAGTTCTGATTAATCTCCTTTGTCAGTGTGCCCTTTGCCATTCCCTATCACTCCTCCCTGAGAGAGACTTCACCCTGATTCATAAGGAAAAGGGGATAACGTATTCTCTTAGCTACTTCCTGCTGAAAAGGGACGTTCATATCTTCAAGGATATGAACATGTACGGCTAAGCACAATTAATAACAGTGCAATTAAATTCAAAATCAATCTCCATAATAGTCTATGTGTTTCCTACTGCCAAAGGGGCCCTTTAGAGTAGTGAGAGAGGATCTTCACCCTGAAACCCACAACGCAATCACTTCTTATGCATCAGAGAGTTGGACAATGACCAAGGAGGATAGAAGGAGAACTGATGACTTTGAGCTGTGGTGCTGGAGAAGAGTATTGAGAATACCATGGACTGATAGGAAAACAAACATATTTGTCCTGAAAAGGGTTAAACCGGGCATCTCCTTGGAGGCAAGGATTCTGAGTCTCCATCTAACGTACTTTGGACATGTTGTGAGGAGAGGCCGGTCCTTGGAGAAGGACATCATGCTTGGGAGGGTGGAGGGACAGCGCAGGAGAGGAAGGCCCTCTATGAGGTGGATTGATTCAGTGACTGGGATAATCGGGATGGGTGTGTCAGAGACAGTGCGATTGGCACAGGACAGAGCAGAGTTTAGGACTGTTGTACATAGGGTTTCTATGAGTTGCAAGCAACTCGACAGCACATAACAACAACAACAACATATTGTTTCATATAGTAGATATAAATATCCTAGTTCATTGTAATTTTTTATATATCTTTAGAACATATTCTTATTAGTAGGATTTCTACATTAAATTATATATTTTTTATTTAAAGAATACTAACAAATTTTAAAAAATTACTAACAAACTGACCTCAAAAATGGTCATCTCACACGTACACACACATCTCATACCCATATGAAGAAGAAAAATGTCGTGTCTTCCTTCCAAGTCAGTTAGTACAAGTCTCATCTTTTTATTCATATTACATCTAATCAAAGAAAGAATTTCTCCTACTACATAGTATAGGAAGCTCTCATGGCTTCAAGCTAAGAAGCTGTGCTGCCAACCCAAAGGCATGTGGTTCAAACTCACTAGCTGCTGTGCAGGAGACAATGGGAATTGTCATCTTGTATGATTATTGTTGTTGTTAAGTGCTGTAGAGGCATAGATAGATGACCCATAGTGACCCTATGAATGAAAATCTTGAGTGCAAAACTTTCATCTTTTCTCCAACTTCATAGTGTTTCCAGAGGCAAGCTTTTTTTGGAAGTGGATGCCACTCCTGTTTCTAAGCCTGTTTTATTTGGGAGTTCCACAAAAACCCGGCCCAAGAGCCCAAAAGCCTTTTTTAAATATGAAGCCAAATCAGATCAGCTCACACCCTAATGTCAGCAAGAGCCACACCCTAGATGCAACCTCAAACCAGAAAACACTCCTTAGCAGAATCTGGCAGGTTCTCTCATCTTCCCATCCGAGAAATAGCCCCAGACTGGCAGACAAAAGCCTTTTTACTGCTCTGGAAATCTACAGAAGAGTCAACTATTAGTTCCAGATCAGTGATCCATAACTACAACAATCATCGTATAGCCAAAAGCAGTATTAATCCAAGTACACAGAAACAAGACAGACTTAGAACATCATGCAAAAATGTTTAAAGTTATTATCTGTTCCTCTTACTTTCAGATATCATAAATCATTATATTTCTGTTATTATTTATCTTAAAATAAGGAAATATACTAATAGTAATAGTCTCTTTTTTCATTTTGCAATAAGTGTACCTGAATTATATCTGTTTTTCCATCACTATATTACTTTATTATTTTTGCTTTGGAAGAGATGTTTTATATTTAATTTTAAGGAAAATTACCAAAATCAGTGTCAAAGAGCAAAGATATATTTGAGTTATTTCCAGTTTATGTTGTTTTTGTTGTTAACTACCATCATATCAACTCTAACTCATGATGACCCTGTGAACAATAGATCTGAACCTTGCTAATTTTGGGCCAACCTCATGATCTCTGATATACCCAAGCCCTTTGTTAAAGTCATTGTGCTATTATTCTATCTTGTTGCGGGCTTTCATCTCTTGTGATGACTCTCTGCCTTTTTCAGCATGATGTTCTTTTCCAAGCACTGGCCCCTCTTAACAGCATGCCCAAAGTGTATGAAACCAAGTTTTACCATCCTTGTCTCTAAGGAGCAATCTGTTTGCATTCCCTTGAAGACAGACTTGTTCTTTTCACAGAGCATGAATATTTAATTTTCTTCTTCAACACCATTACTCAAAGGCTTCAATTTTTCTTATGTCATCCTTATTCATTGTCCAACTTTTCAATTTATAGGAAGTGGTTGAAAAAATCGTAGGCAGAAAGAAAAGAATTCTACTACTCTGAGCCGTATAAAAAGAGCATCATTTATAAAATCATCAAGTGAGGCTCAGAGGCTTAAACTTTGAAGTTAATGGATTTACTGTGTACCATTTTCACTCCTAGAATTAGCAAGAGAACTAGATTTCACTGAAGAGCAAATTCATCAAATTCGAATTGAGAACCCCAACTCCCTCCAAGACCAGAGCCATGCACTGCTGAAGTACTGGCTGGAAAGGGATGGGAAACATGCTACAGGTAGGTTGGAAATAATATATGAAATGGGTTAGACCAAGTGAAAAGATCACATTCCTGCAAATTTAGCAAAAATAATAAAATAAATTCCATGAATCTGGAGTACTGCTATGGCAATGAGATGAACTTTTCCCATTTCTAAAATATGTAGGTGAAAATAAAAATTTGCTAACAAGAATGTTATTAAGGTCCTAACACTGTATAAATATTATAATGAAAACAATTTCTTTAATTGACTTTTGTCTTGCTTGTCTACTTTCTTTGCTCCTGAGTAATTTAAGTGGGACAAGAATGTTAAGAATTTCTGACTGTAAGAATTTAATTGTGATATAATCACGTTTAGAATTTGGGGAGGTTGATGAAAGCCACTACTTCTCTTCCCTTTGTGGTCAGGATTTGCTATGTGCTTTAACATTGCTTGAATATCTACTTAGAGATGCCCCTTATTTATATGTGGTCCACGTTTACATCCCTTAGGTTACATTCTTGTGTTGTTGGCCCAAAGGCACATGCTTAGAATACACAAGCTAGTCTGAGGGAGGAAGCTGTGCAGTCTCTTCCTATAGATTTACAGCCTCTGAAGTCCCATAGGAGGGTCAGCTGTATATCTGCTCTTATTTGATGGCAAGAAATTGTTGTGTCATTGAGATAATGTTACTAGATTTAACAAATAAAAATGCTGGGTACTCAGTTAAAAGTTAATTTCAGACAAAAAAGAGACTTTGATTATAATATCACTAGCTATATTTGAGGCTATATTATTATAAGAATTTTTTTCCTGAAAATTTAACTTAAATATAACAAGATGTCCTGTGTATTTTTCTGTGTCACCCTTTCTTATATAATGTCTCCTTGTTTATCCATGTGTTTAAGAAATACATATAGTTAGGTTATGGTTATTTTCTGTAAAAAATATGAAATATTTAGTAAGATACTTAATAAAGTTTTAATATAAAGGATATATTAAAAGGAGTTTCTTTCATATATAATAACTGCTTTTTCCCCCCTAACACCTCAGAGTCCAATCTTATTGAATGTCTTACCAAGATCAACCGAATGGATATTGTTCATCTCATGGAGGCCAGCACAGAACCTCTTCAGGAGCGCATCAGTCACAGCTATGCAGAAATTGAACAAACCATTACATTGGATCATAGTGAAGGTCAACTAATATAAGAGACAGAGTGTGTGTTTGTGTGTGTGTGTAGTTAAATCATAACTGGACTTACGCTCTCCTTTTTTTTAATAGAGTAAAAAATGATTTTCATGAAAAATATATTCTTCTCCTTACTGCCTTTGACTTCCATGTCCATTTTATGGGCTGTCAGATCCACTGCTCATTTGTGATTTCTACAATTCATCCAGTGCTCTATTGTCTTGGTGTCTTGATTACAGCTGTGATAATTGCATTTGTTCTCTACTTTTTCTTATTCTCACCACCACTATCTTACTACCACCAATAACTGCATTACTTCTCAACTTACTGTGAAACATACTTACATCCTCTCTTATTTCTACACTGAAAAAAAATCTTTGGAATCATCAGCCATTAGCTTTAATGATATTTAACTTCTGAAGGTTCTCCAAACATATATTACTCACGTATATTCTCTCTCTTATTTTTATTTTATTTATTTTCTTCTTGATCCCTAATTTTTTTTATTTATTTTTTTACCAATTGACTAAGCTTCATATTTGTTAGGAAAATATAAATAGGCAGATGCAAAGACTCATGTTCTTCTATCACAAAATCTAGTCACCTGAATCTAAGCATTTTTATTCTACTTTAAGGAACCCTTCTCATTATGCACTCAGCCACTAACTGCATGATTATAAATTTCCAACCCCAGATTGCTGCATGGGAAAAAAATGACAGTATGCTTCAGAAAAATTTACAGTTTGATATATTCTTTTTTATATAACAATGAAAGATTTATATAAATAATATAATTTTATTTATGTAAATAATTTCTTTTTTATCCATAATGGATAAAAAAATGGCTATGCCTAGATTGTTGAGAGTTTATATACACAATTGTTGCTGGCCTACTTTTTCCAGATGATGTATAATATACTATTCCAAGAAGGGCAGGAATAAGTAAGTACGAGGCCATGAATGGCCTAAGATGAGACATTAAAGGAGTCATTCACTCTCAGAGGTACAAGAAAACAGGGCCAACACATGTACGTTTCTGAGAATGGGTATCTCCTCAAATCTTAAACCCTAGGCACTGCACTTGCCTTGCCCTAGTCTATTACTCTTTCCAAATCTCCAAGAAGGAAAGAATTTTGAAATTTTCTTAGTACCACAGAGCTGAATTCTGAGACAGAGATTTAATACAAGTAGTTTATGTGGAAGACTCCTCGGATGATACAAATCATTAGGCACTCAAATACTAGCCAAAAAGTTGGAGATTTGAACCCACATAAGAGGTTCTTTAAGAGACAGGCCTAGCAAACTGCTTTCAAAAAAATCCCAGCCTTGGAAGCCCTATGGAACAGTTCTAACCCTGCACATGGAGCTTTATGGGGTTGTCATGAGTTGGAAAGTTCGGGGAATCTTAAGGTGCTGTTTGGCTCTGTTGATATCTGGTGGCCTAGTTCACAGGGGGTTGTGTTGTTAACAAAAGACTGCATCTCCAGTGGTTTGAATCCAGCAGCAGCTCTTTGAGACCTAGAAGGGAAGCTCCTCTCATTACAATTTATAGCCTTGTCCATCCAATGGAGAACACTAAAAATCAGAAATTACTCAAAGACAGTAATTTTGAATATAAGTTATAATAAGGCTACTATGCATTAAAATTGACTTGGTGACAATGTTTTTATTGGGTTGCTTCTAGTACTCTAACTTGCTTCTTATTACAACGAGTGAAATTGCCTTGCTTTCGTAAATCTACCATTACATATGTAGCAGATCTCATAGAATTTAGCCTAATCAAGAACTTCATTCCTGCAGTTAATCTCCTCTGTCTCCTAAAAGCTGGGCCATGACCAAGAGCATTAAAACATGTTTTAAAAATGGGACTGATATCAGGGTGGGGGTAAGACTGAGAAAAACTGGATAAATTGTGTATACTGCACTGAAACAGATGAGGGACTGAATAATTTAAAAGCGATGTATGATAGGGTATTATGGTGAGCACAAGAGTCCACAATTAAGGTTGCATAGTGGAATGTACTTGGGGCGGTGGGAGGGGTGCGAGGGGATTGTGTACCAGGGAGGGAGTGTTTCTTTTACTTTTCAAAGAGAGGAGCGAACTGGGAGGCGGGGGGAGAGGGCTGGGAGAAGTGCAGCAATGAATGAATGGAAATCCAAATTCTCTGTAAATGTTCATTAAAATTATTTAAAAAAATAAAATTAAAAAAACCCAACATGTTTTAATAGGTCCTATCTTTAAAATAAAAAATAAAGACAAACTATTCTCTTTTTTAAATGTTTGTTTTTTATTCTTAGGTCTAGGGAATACTTCACTTGGTATGACTATTACCTCCTTACAGGTCTGTTAGGTTGCTAGATTTTAAATTACAACTCCTGAAGCAAACTCTTCTTCTCGTCTCCATGCCACCCCTTTATCCAATTCTACTCCATTTCTCCATGCATTTAATTTGACACTTTGCTCAATAAAGGAGTCTGAATTTATTGGTTCCACTTCCTCTCTTCTCATCCTTTCAGGAACGTACTCCAGTTAGGCTTTTGTCATTACCCTATAATGTAACCTTGTAAAATTGACCAATTGTTTCTGCATCGCCACACTTTATTGGATGGTTTAGTTTGTTTTTGTTTTCAGTTTATCTTAATCTACTTATTTAGTCTTTACAGAGATCATTAATTTATTCATAATTTTTTTTCTACACTCATTTTACATGAGACTCTATATTATGGGTTTCTTTCTATCTTTCTTTCTTTCACTCACTATTTCTTTTCAGTATTCCTTTTTGTCATTTCATCATTTTTTCATATGAACTTTCAGACTCATGGCCAACTCCTACTAGCCTTTTAAAGTCATATAAATTGTCTCTAATTTAAAAGGATTGTACCAGCCTCTACCAGCCACATTTTCTTCATCATAATCTAATCCCTTTTACTTAATGTATATGCTCATCATTTCATTCAGGCCTCTGTTCAAATACCATTCCCTAAGAGGACTCTTTCTTGACAAATTGTTAATAGGTGCTGGCAAATCAACCAGGACTCAGAATAACCCTATGAACAACAGATAGAGGTCTTTCTCTGTCCTATACCATCCCCACAATCTCTGTCATGCTCAAGCCTATTGTTCCAATCAGTGTATCAGTCCATCTTGAGAAGGAGTTTCCTCTCTTTCTGTGACCTTCTTTTCAAAGCATGACTTTTTCCTCTAAGGACTAGCTCCTCCTGACAACATGTCCAAAATCTGTAAGGTGAAGTTTCATTATCCTTGTTTCCAAGAAACATTCTAGTTGCACTTTGTCCAGTACAAATGGGTTTATTCTTTGGCAGTCTGTAGTGTATTCAGTACTCTTTCTCAACACCATAATTCAGAGGCGATAGGGCTGTCTAAAATATAACCCCATTTATGCTATACCTTGATCCTGGTTTACTTACCTTAGCACTGTTTACCATAAATATGTCTCTGTAGGCAGTACAGTGAGGACAAGAGCTTTTTTACATCTTCTTCATGGCTATACTATATGGTTATCATTTAAACAATGATTACAAACAGTTGATCTTCAATTTATTTCTGTAGAATGAATGAATAAATAAGTGGATGTTAATTACCCTTCTGGAAACATTTGAATGGCTCTTCAGTGCAGAGGAGATTGAAGCAAAATTCTTTGCATAACATAAAAGATTATGGCTTAAATAAAAAAATGCTAACCGCAGAGAATTATAGCATGGATTAAACAAATGAATACAAAACACTTAAAATGTTTGACAAGTGTTAAACATTGAGAATGTATTATATGTTATTATTATTTATTATTGTTACTCTTTTATTAAGTCTGCCTACCATAGGGGAGCTCTGGTGGCATTGTCCATAGGGAATTGCACTGCTGACTCAAAGAGCTTCTCTGGTAGTTCTAATCTGCTTTGGCTGTATAGTACAAAGATGAGCAGTCTGCCGGAGTGTATATTATGATTTGGTTCCAACTTGAACACAATGTGGTTTTAGCTTCTTACCACTTAGATTCTTTTTCCTGGCTACCTCATTGATTCCCACTCATCACTTGATCTCTCCTTTAACGTCATGTTCTCTACACACCTGTCCTAAGTTTTTAGACATACCTTGTTGTTTCTTTTTTCCAATGTCTTTAACTCATAGTGACCTGCGTTGTAACAGAACAAAGCTTTGTATGATCTCACACCATCTTCATGATCATTGATATATTTTAGTTGTTTGACCACCTTCACTTCTCTCAATTTTACTAAATTTTTCTAGTAGTTACTGGCTTTCTGGTTATGCATCTAAAGTATGTTATCCACAATCTTACCATCTTCACTTCTAGTTAGCATTCTTTTAAGGCAGATTTGTTTTTTTTTTTGGAAGTCCATGGTAGAGTCAGCATTATTTGCCAACCCCATAGCTTGAATCTACCTGTCTTCTGTCTTCCTTTTTCTCGGTCCAGTCTTTGCATGTATGTGAGATAACTGTCAAGAGAGTGCATTGAGTCAATTAAATCTTGCTCATTAAAGTGACATCTTTGCTTTTTACCCTGAATTTATACCTGCATTAGGCACACCCATGTTTATTGACTGGGATTTGTATCCAGGCACCCTCTATTTGATTCTTGTCCACCTGGAATCCCCAGAAGGTGAACATCTTGAAAGCAGAAATAGTATCGCATTCACTATTGTAACATATGAGCCTTATACAGGTCATTTCCCACAGAAGTTGACTAATAAATACCTACTTAATATAAAGTAAGCTTCAAATAAATACTTGATTTATATTCTTCATCTTTAGGATTCTCAGTACTTCAGGAGGAGCTATGCACTACACAGCACAAAGAGAAAGAACAGCTCGTGTCTAAAGAAAACGAATCCTGTGATCATCCTCCTATCGTATCAGAGGAAGATATCTCTGTCAGTTATTCCACCTTTCAGGATTGCATCCCCAAAACTGAGGCGGGAAGTTCAGGAACAGAGCTTTTACCCCAAAGTGACAAGGAGCAAGTTCAACAAGATTTCTCAGGGAAAATGCAAGACTTGATTGAAGGGTCATCTCTTGAACATCAGCAAGAATACTTGTGAGTTTAAAAAAAAAAAGTCTTCAGAAATTCTGAAGAAACAAGTCGGTGTGAATAGAGTACAAAGCATATGTTGTTGCTGTTGTTATGTGCCGTCGAGTCGTTTGCGACTCATAGCAACCCTATGTACAACAGCCCTAAACCCTGCTCTATCCTGTGCCGATCGCACTGCCTCTGACACACCCATCCCGATTACCCCAGTCACTGAATCAATCCATCTCATAGAGGGTCTTCCCCTCCTGCGCTGTCCCTCCACCCTGCCAAGCATGATGTCCCTCTCCAAGGACCTGTCCCTCCTTGCAACATGTCCAAAGTATGTCAGACGAAGCCCCAGAATCCTTGCCTCCAAGGAGTTGCTTGGTTTAATCCTCTCCAGGATGAATCTGTTTGTTTTCCTGGCAGTCCATGGTACATTCAATACTCCTCTCCAGCACCACAGCTCAAAGGCATCAATTCTGCTTCTATCCTCCCTAGTCATTGTCCAACTCTCTGATGCATAACAAGTGATTGCAAAGACCATGGCCTGTATCAGGCGCACCTTAGTCTCCAGAGAGACACCGTTGCTCTTGAGTATTTTAGAGAGGTCCCTAACAGCAGACTTTCCTATCACAATATGCTTTTTGATTTCCTGACTGCTGGTGCCAAGAGTGTTGACTGTGGAGCCGAGCAAACTGAAGCTGTGAACAATCTCAATCTCTTCGCCATCCATACTGATGCTACCAATTGGTCCATATAGAAGTATATAATTTTTCAGTTTTTTCTAAAGATTGACAAATAGGAGAGCTACTGAGATGAGAGTGGCAAAATGTTTAAGAAGCAGACTGATTGGGCACACACCTGCTCTACTTGAAGCATTTCCTGGTGGCATGACCCAGAGCATAACCCTATGCCTTTTTATTTTGTATATCTTATTTTGTTGTTTTTATTTAGAATATAAATAGCAAAACAAACACTAATTCAGTAGGGTCTCTTTGTAAACTTTAGGAGCATTGATTATATTCTTTGAGTTGTACAACCTTCCTCACCCTCATTCATGAAGTTACCTTCCTCATTAACATAAATTCATTGCCCCCTAAGGTTCTTACCTGATTTTTTTGAGTTTCTGTTTTCAGTTTGAGCACAGGGAGATTGTTTTTAAAATGGCATAATGCTCAAGGCAGGACTTTGTTTTTACTAGTTAAGTTAAACTATCATTTGTTTTTAACATGATTTCAACAGTTATTTTTGGTTTAAGGATTAAAGTTAATCCGAGGATAATATGTGGGGAAAAGCCCTAGAGATCTAATTCTGTCGGGTTTCTCCAGCATTCATGGGCTTGCCATAAATCAACTCGATGGCATTGTTTTAGTTTTGACTGTCACTGACAATGATGTTGGGTGCCATCTCCCTTCCAACCCATTTGCTTCATATTGGGGAGATGCATATGCTCCAGTGGTAAAATCTAGCTTTTCCATTTCAGTGTGACAAGCCCAGGAACAGATGTGTCAGAAACGCAAAAGCTTACAGTGGTTTCTGGATCTCCCAGCAAGACACCTGAAGAAATCAGTACCCCTGCTGAGGAGGAGAGGCCATATCTCCAAACCCCAACACCAAGTGAAAGAGGCAGTTCTCCCATCATACAAGAACCCGAAGAGTCCCCGGCGCAGAAAGAAGAGAGTTCTCCACGAAGAACAAGCCTTGTGATAGTGGAGTCGGCCGATGACCAGCCACACAATATTGATATGCCTGATGAAGACGCGGCTTTTCAAAAGGTAAGACTCCGTTTCCTTGTCCATTTGGAATAAAGCTACAAACCTCCCTGGCATTTCCATTTCTCAGGTGGCTTCTTTTATCTCTTCATATTACAAAAAGGTTTGTGAAATTAATTTTCAACCAAGACCTGTGAAATTGTCAATCTTTTTAAAATCCAAAACCCAGTAAATATAAAAGAAAAAGTATGCAGTTCAAATTTGATCGATTTAATCAAAGGTCCTAATTTTATAATTTAAGACCCTCTTAAGAAGATTGAACCCGCTGTTGAAGCAATGCATCTGACATTGCTTTTGAAAATGAACCAGTGCCAGTGAGAAGAATAGTGGTAGGTTAACAGTCTAAGTAAGGTAAATGTGTCCTCCCAGGAAAATGCAGGTGTCAACACTGTGCAATATTGTTAGGTTAGTTACACAAACTGTGGGCGCCAAGTGGAATTTACCTGTCAAAACACATTTTCTCTTAAATTTATTTTAAAGGTGATTTGGAAGAAGATTGTACTTAACTGGATCATTGTTGTGTGTCATCGTTTGAAAAAATCCATAGCTGATCCTCTAGTGGGTTTTCAGAGACAGTAAATCACAAGGGAGGAGATTGCCCATCCTTCTCCCAAAGAGCAGCTGGTGGATTTGAACCACATGCCTTTGAGATTGCAGTGCAACTTCTTAGCACTTGGCCATCAGAGCTCTCTTAACTCTATTGCTCTTTCTAAATGTCAAAATGCCTAATAGATGAGTTGTGAAAGGATGATTATTATCTGAAAAATTAATTTAAGCTGTCATTCCAAGGAGGATAGAAGGAGAATTGATGCCTTTGGGCTGTGGTGCTGGAGAAGAGTATTGAGAGTACCATGGACTGCTAGGAAAAAAGATTCATTAAAGCGGGTTAAAGCGGGTGGCTCTTTGGAGGCAAGGATTCTGAGGCTCCGTCTAACATACTTTGGACATGTTGTAAGGAGAGACCGGTCCTTGGAGAGGGACATCATGCTTGGGAGGGTGGAGCGATAGCACAGGAGGGGAAAGCCCTCTGTGAGGTGGATTGATTCAGTGACTAGGATAATTGCGATGGGAGTGTCAGAGACAATACGATTGGCACAGGACAGAGCAGAGTTTAGGGCTGTTTTACACAGGGTTGCTATGAGTCGCAAGCAACTCGATGGCACATAACAATAACAACATCATTTCTGAACATAGGGCCTGCATGGTTTATTCTTCAGAGTTAACTGGGAAATTGATCCCTCCTCAGTCCTCCTGAATCATAAATGACATGAGTACACAGACATTAAAACTTACATTTTAATAATTCCCCAGATGACTGTTAAACACAATGAAGTTTAACAATCTGTTTTAATAAAATGATTTAGTGTTGTTGTTGTTATGGGCTGTGGAGTTGACTACAACTGACAGCAACTCTATGAACAATGGCCCTGAACCTTGCCCTAACCTGAGCCAGATTCACTGTCTCTGACACAACTGTCCCATCATTACAATCACTGTATCAACCCACCTCATCCAGAGTCTTTCCCTCCTATACTGACTCTCTACCCTTCCAAGCATGATGTCCTCCTCTAAGGACTGGCCCTTCCTGAAGACATGCCCAAAGTATGTGCGATAGAATCTAAAAATCCTTGCCTCCAATGAGCAACCTGTTCTCCTCCTCTCTAGGACAGACTTATTTGTTCTCTTGGCAGTCCATGGTATGTTTAATACTCTTTCCCAGCACCACAACCCAAAGGCATTGATTCTTCTGTCATCCTTAGTCACCCTTCTGCCACCCTTAGTTTAGCTCTCAGAAGCATCGCAAGCAATTTAGAGAACCATGGCTTGGATCAGTTGCACCTTCATCTTTTAACTGACATTGTTGCTACTTAGCACTCTGAAGATATCCCTGACAGCAGATTTTGCCAATGCAATTTGTCTTTGGTTTCCTGACTGCTGATGCCAAGAGCGTGGATTGTAAATCTGAGCAGGATTAAATTGTTGGCAACTTCAGCTTTTTTTTTAAGCAACTTTAGTCTTCTATCTACATCTATTATTATGCTGCCTATTGGCCTCGTGTTGAGGATTTTTGTCTTCTTTATGTTGAGATTTAATCCATATTGAAAGCTGTAGTTCTTTACCTTATTCAAGGCCTCCTCAGTTTCAGCAAGCAAGGTTGTATCTTGTGCATAACACAGGTTGTTGATGGCTCTTCCTCCAATCTTGATGTCACATTTTTTTAAAGAAGACTGCAACCCAAAGCAATCTTACGAACAGTGGTCTCCCAAATGATCTGTTCAGCCTATAGATTTAAGAAGTATAAAGAAAGGATACATTCTTGACATACTCCTTACTTAGTTTATAACCATGTAGTAATCCTTTGTTATGTTCAGACACCAACTCTGAGGTCTGGATACAGATTTGGCAAATACTTAGTTTATAACCATGCAGTAATCCTTTGTTATGTTCAGACACCAACTCTGGGGTCTGGATACAGATTTGGCAAATCAAGTGTTCTGGAATTCCCAATTTTCTCAATGTTAGCACAATTTGTTGTGATCTATACTGTCAAATGCCTTTGCTTGCATAGTCAATCAAAACAAATAGACATCCTTCTAAACTCTCTGCTTTTAGTCAAAATCCATATGATATTGGCAGTGACATCACTGCCAACACAAAGGGGCACAGTTTGACTTCACCAGCTGCTCCTCTGGCAAAAGATGGTCAGTCTCTTCCTGTACAATTTATTACCTGTGAAAATCCACGATGGGATCAATAATGGGTCATTTCGGACCTGATAGTACTCAATAGCAACAATCACCATTTGATTCTTAGAAATAAAGAAAAAAATCTAAATATAAGAATTAAAACACTTTGGTCGGCAAAACTGATATGCTACGTTTATTTGTATTCGTTTTATGTGGCATTTCCTCCCAGTATTTAAAAACTTAATTGAAATTAGCAAAGATCTTGGTAGATGAGATTTGTGTCCTGATTTGAATAGTTATCTTAGAGTCAATTCTTCTCATGAATGAATGTTTATTTCAGGTTTGACTTTGCACAAAACCATTCATCTTACAACTACTTGACTTAAATAAACACAGTTAAAAATGTTCTGTGTATACAATCTTAACAGTCACCAAATATAAGCCAAGTGAATGCCAGGAGAGAAAAATGGGAGCCTTGAATTAATTACCTGAATAATTAATATGCTTCATTTATTTCATGTATGTAAATATACCTTGATAACTCATTTTGCATTTCAAGTAGTTTGTGCAGTTCTATTCTTCTCATGTCAACTTCCTCCTCTCTAGCTTCCTAATTTGAATCTTTTGATTTCTCATGACCCTAACTTGACCATTTGGTTTCAATAGTTATCTCAGTGAATGCAGCAGCTTCTTGAGTAGTTAAAATGTAATTTAAGTTAGGTAAAGTCTCAATTATCACAGAAGGATATAAAAATGTCATCTTAGTATTTTAAAATATGTTGAACAAGTTTAGTTGTTTTAAATAACATTCCATTCAAGAGATAGAAAGAGAAAGATTCAAGGCCTTGCTCCTAAGACATATGTTGTAATCTCTAATTATGTTCTTAGCCTTATCTCTGGTTTTCAGCCAGATCCCTAAATACTACTTACCTCTACATCTCAACTCTGCAGGATGAGTCTAATATTCATACACAGCCTTTTTTTATTCCATGGTAGTGAACTCCTGACTTAATAAGAGTTACTGGTAATTTTGACTTCCTGCAAAAAGTTTTGCTACAAATATAAAGCATACTTCCACTTCTGAGTTCATAATCACAAGTGCAAGCAGGAATGCCAATGACTAACCAGTATTTATTATGCTGTTTACAGTTGGTTGTTAGGAGTACAAATCCCAGGAATAACGTGAGCAAGCCGCTTGTTTCTGACAGATTTGACAGATGTGTTCTCAGACCGTTCTCAGAGCAGTAACTCAATTCCAGAACTCTAGTTCTCATTCGTTGACCATCAGACTATATTTCCTTGAAGTGTGAGACCACCACACACTGAGGATATGTCAACCCCTCCTGCCTTTTTCCACTGAAGTTTCCACAAGTACAGCTTTCACGTCACAGTGTGAGCTAAGGCAGAAACCCATAGTTTTGTTCCTTAGCATATTAAACAAAGCAATGCTTCCATGCTTCCTCCAGGAGCTAACAGAGGAATTAGGTGAGCTAGAAGCCAGCTCAGATGAGGAGGCGATGGTAACTACCAGGGTTGTCCGCCGGCGAGTGATTATTCAGGTACCAGCTGTTAAATTACTGCACGTTTGGGCAGTTCCAACCCTCGTAACCCTTAGAGAGTGACCAGCCTGGAACACTTGGCATGCTTATAGATCAGTGCATGGCCATTTGAAAGCAGATTCCATAACTCCTCTAATATTTGTTTAAAAATAATGCAGTGGTAATGACATTTGCAGCCTACCTCCTGGAATTAGTGAGCAAGCAAGATGTGGCTTCTTCAGTTCCTCTCTTCTCGCTTGTCTGATTTTATTTGTTTAATATTTTTAGTCTAACTTTATATCAGATTTTCCTAAGCATGTTATCCTCTACCTTTAAAGAAAAATTCCTTTTAAATAAATTACTGAACAGGATTTTTGCATCTCAGCAATGCTTCTCCACAGCTCTTTAGTTTCCTAACATTCCTCATATGTAGGCATTTGAGAGTTAATTCCTCAGAACTGGTGCTAAACACTGAGTGACCTATTTATCCCAACTGTTTAGGGAGATGATATGCCAGACATACCCCCCGAAACAGTCACAGAGGAAGAATACATTGATGAGCATGGACACACGGTGGTCAAAAAGGTATTGTCTGCTGTCTGCTCATTTGACTGATGTTAAACTTCCTGTTTAAAATATATCAGGGCCATGGAATTAAAACTTAAGAAACATGAATAAAATATATTTCAGGTTACTAGAAAAATCATTAGGCGGTATGTATCCTCCGATGGCATAGAGAAAGAAGAGATTACAATGCAGGGAATGCCACAGGAACCTGTTATCATCGAGGAAGGGGATGGCTTTTCCAAAGTAATAAAACGAGTTGTTCTAAAGAGTGACACCGAGCAGTCTGAGGTGAGACCTTCATATCCTCCAACGCCTATTTATGAAGAAGAGTAAAATGGAACTCAAAAGAGATGGGCCAGATTGTTCATTTGTATTTGTCTCTCATACGCTTATTTTGCTTTTTTGTTCTATGTTAATTTTTTCTTTCTTAATCCCATGTAATTAAAAAAAAATCATCAGCATGATTTGCAGCCCTGTTTATCACTGTCTTTGTCTTTCCATTTTCAATTTATTTCATAGTTGACCACAACAGAAATCAAAAAGTCAAATCTTAAGAAAAACAGACCCTATTTTCTGGGCAAGCATTATGCTATGTAGAAATCAGATGCAAATGTATCACTGGTACTTATGTCTCTTTAACACAAGCCTTCAGTTGATCATGTTGGATAAATATTTATATTCAAAACTTTTGCATTTAGAGTGCCTAGGAGCAGCCTCCAGAAACACTTTTGATTAATTGTTTTCTTTGTTTCTGTCTTACTTCCCTCTTACAGGGATATGTTTACTTATTTTGACATAATTTATGACATTCTGACAGTTTTACATTTGCTCATATCCTCAAATTCTTTATATTATGGATGTGACATTCTCCACACAGCTGCTGCTTCAATTGCTCATAACTTTGAGAGTTCTTCCTTTGAAGCTTAGTTACATCTTCATAATGAAGAAAAACAAAACAAACCCAAAATTTAAGAATGGAAACTAACAGCCAATCTGTAGTTTTTTATGCGTGTATTACTTTCCTTGACTTTCTTATAAAAACTACAGAAAAATTTCACGTGAGTGACTAATTAAGTAGCTGATGGTGCTGTGAAGGTGCAGTGACTAGACAAACATGAACAAATATTATCATTTTTTTCAGGTTCTAATTCTGCTCATCTTTCCTAACATACTTTCTAAAAGGCTAGTATATGATATTATGATAGATATGCATGTGTAGTTTTACTACCCAATAAATTGATTATTGTTTCTTTGTGGCAATCAGAAATTGTCTATCATGTGTCCTTCATTCATCAGGTAACTCTGTCTGAGCCCAGAATTTTGTCCAGTACCTCAGAATTTCAGGCTGAACCAGTGGAAGGCCGTAGAGTCAGCAAAGTTGTTAAAACAACTATGGTCCATGGAGAGAGGATGGAGAAACATCTGGGGGATTCTAGTTTAGCCAGTGATCTTCCTTCGGCCAAAGATGACTTTGAAGAGGTATAGAAGCATTATCATTTTGTCTTTGTGTCTATGTTATGTTTGCCTTGCCTTTGAAAAGAACATTGTTTATTATTGTGCCATTTCATACATGAACTCATGGAAGATTGCAGAATTATCTCTGAAATAATAGTGCTCATCAGTGTCATTTGAAGCATTTTTTCTTTTCCTTTTTTTTTATTTCAAGAATTTTAAAAAAATCTAGACACCTTTGGTCCTGCTGATTTAGAATCTAAATATCTACATTTGTGTCGTGACTGCTCATCTCATTTTAAAATTGAAGCTACAACTCACACTTGTAATTAGTAAGGGAAAGAGATAAAGGATATTCCAGAGTGTCTTTGCTTGTTAATATCCTCAAATAGTACCGATGATAGTTATTAAAGAATTTTGTAAAGCATATCTAATTCTTTAAAATCTATTTACAAGCAGTTTATAAAGGTTCCACACTGGCAGATCCTCAAATTCTTCCTGCAGTTCCAAAATCCAAAGACACTGAAAACCAAAACAAGTTCTATAAATTGATGTGTTGTTGTTAATTTCCAGTTAGTCAACTATGACTTGTAGCAACCTCATGAACAACAGATGTGGACCATGAGCTATCCTGAACCGTCTTCATGCTCAAGCCCATTGTTAACATTCACTGTGTCAATTCATCTCATTGAGAATTTTCCTCTCTTTTTCTCTCACTCCATCTTTCCAAGCATTATATCTTTTTCCAAGGAATGATCCCGCCTGATAAAATGTCTGAAGTATGTGAGATGAAGTTTTACCACCCTTGCCTCTAAGAAATGCCATAGTCTCACTTCCTTCAAGACAAATGAGTTAGTTCTTTGGACAGTCTGTGGTCTATTCAATACTCTTCACCAACACCACAACTCAAAAGTATCAGTTCTTCTGCCATCCTTATTCATTGTCTAACCTTTAGATATATAAACAGCAATTGAAAAATACCATGACGTGGATAAAGTATACATGAGTCTATAAATTATAAGTCCATGACTGTGGTATTAAGGAAGGTGTTTTTGTTCAAAATTACTTTCCTATCTATTGACCCTGACTTTGCATGTGAATGGGGAGGATTCTGTAAATCAGGCATGATATTCCGTCCACAGAGAATTAGCTACCTGCCAGTAAATTAAGTAGATTGAGCAGCAGAATTTGAGAATTTTAGCACTAAACATGAAGAAGCTGGAATGTATTCACGCCCTTTGAGGCCAAAGATTCTTGCACCAGCTTGACCTATAGGAGAGCAGCAGTAGCCACAGCAGAATAACAGAGACGTAACATGAGGCAGAGCTGACCTTGAGACTGCTACCCCATGAAACTAGAGCTAGGAGCCTTCACCTAAGTTTATTGGAAAACTGAAGGGAAGATACCTTAAATGACAAGAGAGCTTTGTAATACTGGCTTAAAATCCTGAGGCTAAAGGCTAAAGTCCTGTGAGTACCCTTTAGAAGCTGTCCTGACTGAGAAATTGTTTTCTGATCCCAATTGAAATGATATTCTATCAATTTCTTTAACGAACTCCATAATCATGGGTATGGTTCCATGCTCTGTGAACCATTGCAATGGCTCTTGTATCCTATTGAGTTGTAAGACTGTTATTAGAATTGTTGCAAAGAGATACAGAAGTGTAGGGGACATGTCAGACCTTATGGGAAAAGTTTTTGTATTGTTAACAGGGACAATTCCCCTTTGTGCAGTTAGCAGAGGTCAGATATGGCCATCCTCTTGCACATCTTTGTTCCTTTCACAGTAGTAAGCCAATTTGGCAGTAAAAGCTGACCTGAAGTGATATTTATATAATTTTTAAACCCTTTTTATAAACAATAATACTTTACAACCATAGTAAGAATTCATGTTTTTGTGCTGCCAGTATAGAAATAGGCAGGGAGCTCAGGTGGCCTAGTGGTATGGAGTTGCACTGCCAACCCAAAGGTTCATGGTTAAACCCACCAGCTTCTCTGTAGGAGAAAGATGGGCAATCTCCCTTGTGATTGATTCACAGCCTCCGAAAACCCGTTGACAACTCAGCTATGAGCTAATTCTGACTTGATGGCTATAAAAGAAGCAATAGCAACATGAGGAAGGCTAAATGCAGCCTCTACCAAAACCACAAAGGGAAATGGTCCCCATCAACAATATCCACAGTATAAAGCTGATATATATGAGGTCAGACATAGTTCCCTATACTTCTGAACCTGCTTCTACAAATTACTGGGCCCAGAATTTGTTGAAAATGATCACGAAGGCTTCGCAAAATCTCTTTCCAGTCACAGTTGTAGGGTTTATTAGAGAAACAGCCTAGGGTGGGGATGGGGGTGGTATTGGGGAGGGCATGGAGGGAAGGAAAGGATATCACAGAGTGAAAGCCCAGGTTCAGTCCAGCAACACAAATGCAAGAAGCAGTAACTGCAGAGTCCAGTCCCTCCATTAATCCAGTCAGCTTCTCAGTCAACAGCAAGATACCTCTGGCACAGGACCCTCTTTCCATGGCTCCACCTGGCTCCGAAAGGCAACACCTTATCACAGCCTCTCTATGGTCTGATTAACTCTCTCTTATATTGGTCTCAAAGCTGTTAATGATGTTGAAGATGCTGATCAATGACTAACCAAGTGTCTACGTTTGAAGCAGCTGGACAGCACACCACTACCTAGGGAACTAAGGGTGGTGGGTGGAGCCTCAAAGATTTATTTGGCTTACATGTTCCCATCTGGCCATAAGGTCAGGTCTAAGGCAATGGATAGAAAAGTAAAAAAATCGTAACACCACAATGGCACATAACAACGTAGTGATAAGTTTATAATAGGTAATATACACACCATATTACCTTTGTAAAACTAAAACAAAATCTAAATATCTAACTGCTGAAACATTTTGGCCCAAGAATTTAAAATGAAAGGTCATGAACTTGAGCAGAATGTCTGAAATAGCTACTGAAACAATTTTAAATCTGACCCTATAAATGTAGTCTATGTGCACAATAGGTACTTGAGAATATAGGTGAACAAAATGCACTGGGGTATTTAAAGATATATCTTATTTAAATAAATACATGTAGTTCTTCATGTTACCGTGGTTGACAACCTGGATGAATTGTCTGAGTTTATTATCTTTGTACGAACCTGCTCTGCAATCCCTAAAGTATGTGGTTTGAATCCGGCAGTTGCTCTGCGGGTGGATGGGCAATCTCCTCACATGAGATTAACTGCTTTTGAAAACCCGCTAGAGGGTCGGTTCCTACTCGGTGGTACTCAACAACCACCACCATTTGTGTTAGGTTAGTTGTTTCTTTTTATCTCTAGCCATTTTATTTCATTAGCTATTCCACTGTTGATTACAATGAGATGAGACAAAGAAGGAATTAAAAATCAACAGTATTTATGCTGGTCTTCAGCTTATAAAGTAATATAGCACATCAGACATAAACTCATTGCCTTCAAGTTGGAACCTACTTATGGCCAACCTTCCAGCATGGAGGAGTAAATCCCTGTAAGCTGCCTGAAAAGCTGGAAATTTCCTGGGAGGAGATTGCCTGTCTTTCTCTCTTGCTGCTGGTGGATTCAAACTACCGGTGAGGCTCTGCTCTGGATTAGCAGTCCAACTCCCTGCAGACTAAGCCACAAGAACTCTTTCTATAGCACCTATCTCTTGTGAAATGATATTCAATATTTGAGTCAAAATATCATTTGTATTTATACTTTCATATTGTAGGTTGGTCAAGCCAAGCAATTGGGTGGCTCTTCCCCCTTAAATTCTATGGTTATAATGAGATTTTTTTCTTTTCCCCTCCTGTACTTCAGGCTTTGAGTTATACAGGTAGCCACATGAAAGTCCACTTCCCCAGTTTAGTAGAGAAAGAAATCTTGAAAGAGGATGGATCAATAATTAAAAGGTTTGATTTAGCATGGGGTGATGCTTTGTGAACTAACACTATTTACAATTTTTAAAGAAGAAAAGTAGAGACCCTAAATAAATCCTAATATCTCTCAGGAGCTATTGACTCTCCTTGTATATTGCATATGGCCAAGTGGAATATTTGTTAATGTGTCAAAATTCAAGTATCTTCTCGATGATTTGAGAATAATAATAAGGCACAGTGTCAATGATGTGCTAATTTGATTATGCCATTGTGTTTGTAGATTTGGAAAGTATAGGGAAGAAATCTAATCAGTTTATCACAGATTTATTTCATTACTAGCTAGATTCAGCTAAATATCAGAAAGTCATTGCTTTAAATGACAGGTGATTTTCCCCCTTTGTTTATATCAAGTGCTGTCATGATTCTGCATGTGAGTGGTGAATAACTTGAGCATGATTCTGATAACTATGAACCTAATTGCAGCTAGTGATGCTGAAAGGCCTTGAATATGTTAAGAAAATGGTATGAAAGCAATTAAGCAACACATTTTTATGCATATACAAAGGATCAGCTGTGAGGCTGTCTGGTCTCTTCCTGTCTCCATCACTGACTTGATGTTTGACTTGGGCACATGTTTCCGTGGGCTGCTCCTCGTTCTTTCTGATCTTTTAGCAGCTCTGTAAGTATCAGAATTCATAGCGAAAAGGCACAATGGAAAGCCAACTTACTATTGTGCTTTTCATCCCATTGAAAAAAAGGGAACAATTATCTTTTATAGTACTCCACAATACTATTTCGAGCCTCTTGAACATGATAATTATGTTCCTGCAAATTGATTTTAATTCTAGCAAAATTAAAGGTTCTGTCACAATTCCACCCCCAAATCAAATGTGGAAACCAGCAGCAACTGGGAATTTAAAACCATGTAATTGCTTTTGGAACTTGAAAAATGTTACATGAATTAAGGAAGAAGTGCTTTTCTTCTCTGAACTTTAAAGCCTTTTATTCAATTATTCACTAGGACCAAGATAAACCTTGTGTCCCCTCACATCATGAGATCTTCAAGCAAAAATTCATTTAAAGACCATTAATCCAATGTTCTCATTTATGAGAGGGAAAATCACAACCAGGCCTGTGGACAACTTGAAATAGTTCCCACAGCTAGTTAATTATGGGACACAATTTTTTTGGCATAAAACACTTTATCTTATATATTTTCCATATACTCCCTTTTGAACATATGCGTAAGATCATTCCTTTCATTGAGTCTTACGCATGTGTATAAACGCACTCATGTACCCACGAATGTACAACATGCTAGGAATTATCAGTTGATAGAGAATTTATCCAGGACAGCCATGTGGTGATCTCTTCTGCTAGTTCTTAGCAAGTACAGCTAGATAATTAACTGTCTTCAGAAATAAAAAGAATAATAATGCATGCTGAATTGTTGCAAGAACAGTCTCATTTACGTCTTTATAGCCAGATTTGGCTTTTCCAGCAAGGAGAACAAATTTAAGCTTTCAGATAAAAAACAATTGATATAATATTGAAGGAAGAGGGAAACTAAGAGTGTATGAGAGACTAAGAAGGAAGAAGGAAACAGTACTCAAAAGAAAGTTGAAAGTATTGGTTCTCAGTGGAAGCTTTGTTTTCCACAAAATCAGGATAATCTTTAAGTATTAGAAAGTAGGAGAATGATAGGGACAACCCACAGGTAGGACTTGGAGCTTCAGGACACTTTGTTGTTAACTCTTCTAGAGTGAATTCCAACTCCTGGTGACTCCTTGAATACAGAGTGAAGCATGGTTTTAGAAGCAAATCTAAAGCACCAGTTCTCATTTAGAACCATTAATGTGGGTTCAAGCATTAAGCTTTCAATTAACAGTCAAGATGTAACCAATGTGCCATCAAAGTTTGTTTTACCCTAATGTGAGTAGTTGTCTGGAGAAAGACCATCATTCTCTCTTTTCTGCTTTCCTCCAGGACAACCATGAGTAAAGCCAGCACCCAGAAGAGGGCTGTGGTGAAGGACCAGCATGGAAAACACATTCACTTGGAGCATCTGGAGGATGTCCCAGAAGCACTAGACCAGGACGACCTCCAGCACGACCTCCAGCGACTCCTTCGGCATTTCTGCAGGGAGGACTCAAAGCCAGAGGCCAAATAAGGGGCTGCCCAATTCTCACACCAGAAACCCCACACTCACTCAATATGCAACTTCCCATTTCACTAGCGGAGTGACCGTGTCCGGCTTCATTAATGGGACACCCTGACACTTTTCGGCAAATACACTGCATTCTCCTTTAGTTTTCCCCTACCTTTTCACCTGTCCACTAAGTTGTGACCAAAGATAGCATCCTTTCTACTGGATGCTGTATCCACTACTTTGTTGTGTCCGTGCGAACTTGGGATCTGGCCACCTCAATTGTTCTTTGCTTCTGCACAAGCTCCATGAAAATCCATTGATCAGAAGAACTTCACCTGCAGACCTCTTCAAGTGAGGACATAGAGAAACACCTCAGAGGGAGATCCATGTACAATGTATATAGTTGAAATGCTCAGATGAACAACCTGTTACAATTAAAACCACTGCCTACCATAACTACACTGGGCATCATGGAATAAAAGGCCTCTAGAAATTACTGAACAATGGTTAATTAAGATATTGCTAACACAATCGGAGGAGAATACAGTTCTCTACTGCAAAAGGAGCACTTCAGACCTACCATGTCCTTAGAACTTCCAGAGTAGCCACTGCTTCGAGTTAAAAGATGGGTTAATAACCATGAAGAACTGTTCTTACTAAGACATTATGGCTGGTGCTGGACAGACTCGATTTCTGACTCTCCAGCAGCTCCTCCAATGGAGAGAAGAAGGCGAACAGAATTAAAGAGTGAGGTATTCAGTTGCTAGCAGCTACATCTGTGGTGTTCTAGCATCTTCAGGTCTTTTAGATTTGAACAAGTTGGCAGGGTATTTTAAAAAGCTATAACTACTGTAGTTTTTCAGTTTTCATTGCTGCTTTAGCAAACCACACTGTCTTACTGGTGGTACTTTCTTCTGTCCACTGCACTGTAGATAATTCATTGGAAACAAGATAATACCCGTGACACAAAAGCTTAAACTCCTTCACCATGTTTGAGTGGTTAATTTTTTTTTCTTTTCCCAGGTTTATATCTTCTCTAATACCTGCATGTGGCATTTAAAAAATTAAAACCTACAGAACTCTCTACTAATCCCATTAATGATTTTTTTTCCCATTCTTTATCCATGAATTGAGCAGTTATCACTTCTCAGTGAAGTCTGATTTTCAGCTTGCAGAAAAGATTGAGAAATCTTTAAAATCTGGTTTTGGTTAAAAACGTTGGCTTATATATTTGAAACCCAGACTCCCCTGGGAACGCTTACGTGCACTGTAATGCTTAAGTGCATTTGTGCACTTTTCTATTTGTTTGCTTCAAAGAAGGGAATAGAACAATCTGAATGATTCCCATGTTGTAGCCCTTATTCCTCTAGTGGTTGAAGCAGTGTAGCATTTTAACATATATCTATATTCGCAAATATATTCATATAAACAGTATACATTTGAATCAGTTATTTGTTAAAGAAAAGTATATTCAATGAAGAAGACATTAAAAAAATTCCTCCAGGGATTGAAAATTTTCCAACTCTATCTGGTCCTTTCCTGTTGTGCAGATATGACTCAGTGCTCCAAATGTCAAAAACAAATGCGACAAACAATAGCACTTCATCATTTAAAATAACATTGCCAAGGGAGAAAAATGTTCTGGGAGGGAGGTTTCCCGGAAGCCAAACCTCCTGAGCCTCTAATGCTAGCACTTTCTGGCTGTCAGATAGGAAAGAAAGCATTCTTTGGCAGCCAAAATGAGAGAGGCCCATGGTGAAACTTTTTGAGACACACCGTGGCCTTTTTTGTCAAAACCTTCACTGGAGCTCAAGAAAAGCATTTCTGTTGTGTTATTTGCAGTGCAGATGATGTCTGTGTAACAACATAATGGTTATTCACCTTTTTTTTGAAAATTGATTTTTGCTGTGTTATCAAAAAAACTTGAATACTGTGAGAAGAAGTGAATTTTCAGTTGATGAATCAGCATCTTGTTCCCATGGTGATAACACTAATTGAATATATCTATGAGGGCATGTATTAGTTAATGGAAAAAAAAATACAACACTAACAATACATAGCTGCAATGTGTACAATGGCTGATTTACTTAAATAAAATGTACAAGTGTTAAATGTGGCCACAGTGATTTGTTCTTCTTTAGCACCAATTTATACTTTCAGGAGAATTAGAGGTTAGAAAAAGACCAGCATGATTTAAAGGCAACAAAAAGACATAAGATTGAAGTTGTTCTGCAATCCTGAAAGCACACAGTTCAAATCCACCAGCTGCTTACCAGGTGAAAGATGGGCAGTCTGTTCCCATGTTATTTACTGCCACTCAAAACCCACTGGTGTGGAGTCTGGGCTTTGAATCCTGGGAGGGTTCGTGATCATGACTGGGATTGGACCTTTGTGATCCACAGAGAATGCGCCACTGAACCCAGTTCAACACCTTAGCAACACGGCATGATCATAGCCTTCACTGATATGAGGCACAGTCATCAGGAATCAAAACTATGCCTATAGACCTAGGAGATGATGTGTGAGAAAGGGGTAACCAGCACAGACAGTAGCCACAGGGTAGATGAATTTCAGAAGCTCTGGTGGTCTAGTGGGTAAGGTGATGTGCTGCCAACCCAAAGGCAAGCAGTTCAAATCCACCAGCTACTCTTTAGGAGAAAGATGAGCAGGCGCCTCCCATATAATTTACAGCCTCTGAAAACCTGGTCAGCTGTGAGTCACTTCCAACCCAGCAATTATGGCCCCTTTGCTTGCTAATAAGGCAATGGCTTTCGGCAAAGACCTCCCTTTGGAAACAGCATGTCTGTAACTCAGGAGTTAAATTTCTCTCTTATGGCTTGAGAATCAGAAAGTAAATGGCTATTTCGATATAAATAAAGACATGGTGGTTGTATGAAGAGAGTTTTTGTTTTATCTTAAAATCTTTTGTGCAGCTATAATATTTTATGGTCTAAAAGGGTTAGAAATTCAATCAGTTGCACTTAAATCTTATCAGTATTAGATGAAAAGCTCACTGCCACTGGTTGATTTGCCTAGTTGACTTCAAAATTAAAATAGAAATGAATCATGAAGCTTTTTGAAGTTTGCAAAGAGAAAATATTTCTAAAGGAGAAGTTTGTGTGAGTCTGACATTTTTTACTTTTTAAAAATGTGTAGTGTTTTTACAGGAATTCTTCACCTCTTTTGTCTTGGGAATGATTAATGGAATCAAAATATTTGAGATTATTCAATATCTTCTGATGCTGAAGTATTTGGTGTACATTTAAAAAGAAAATGAATTTTAGTAATAAATATGTCCTTCTATAGAAAGATATTTAAAATATGGAAAATCCTCTAGAGTGAGGGGAAACTGAAACTCATACATTTGTTTCGGAATTAAAACTGTAAATTACATCTGAGTACATTAAAGCTGACTTTAATTTGAAATTGGGTTGTTTGTAGAGACAGTCAATTTATACCAATATGAATATTTTAGGTCAGAGTCAATAGATGAATTTTAAAAAACAAACAAACATACCAACCCAAAGAACTAAACAAATACTTTAGAACCAAATTTATCACAAAGATTTTCCTTTTTAATGCAATAAAGATCATTTATTTGCTTTCCCTATATTATAAACAAATAGTAGTTAAAAGTTTTCTTTTTCCTTCAGCTGCCAATGCCTGCTTAAACACTATATTCTTGGTTTTTAATTTAAGGTCTGATTTCTGTCTGATCCTCTTAAGTTGATGTGCTGGAGTTAATATGAATCACCAAGTAAATATTTAATCCAACAAAATTCTACAATAGTAGAAATATACTGTAACATATGTTATAAATTCTTACTGGTACACACAAATTAAAATATTTAAGAAAATAATTTCTTGCTCTAAATTAGCTCTATG